ATCTTTCGTTATTACTTAGGATTTTGTTGTCACAAATTAACTGAAACAACTACTTTAATCTCTTTTCTTTCATCATACGGTCCGTTTTAGATCCCAGGGTGTAATCAATTTCCATTTTTTCTTTACATTAGCTCAGTTGCAGTGGTGTGCAGTAATATGAACCTATTTTCGGGGTGTATGATAAAATCTGTTTGGCCCAGAAAAATATTTCGTCATCCGTGTTTGCATCTGATTTTTATCACGCCCAGACACTATTGTCTCGACTGTCGATTAGATGCCCTGAAGTCATTGTCTGCGATGGACGTTACTCCAAGGAAGCGTACAATTATCGTAACGCTGCATGAATACTCTGGCAAGTATTACCAATGAGTAAATCAAGTACTACAGACTGGCCTGGAAAGTGTCCTGATTAAATCCAATCGAAAATCTGTGGTCAATCTGCAAGGAACGACTTTGTGGAATGAACATACAAGTACTAATTGGGCACTGGGTCATGTTTCATTGGAAAAATATGAAAAAAATAAATAATAGAATTATTCGTTTTGATCCAATTAATTTGCACAAGGTGGATTGAAATTGCATAGTTCAGAAAGCTTTCCTGTGTTTCTATTGAAATATTGCTCTTTCTTAATATTTTACTTAGCTTTTAGAAGCCATCTTTTCATATCGCATCTTGGTCTCATTCTTTTGCTGACAACTCGATATTCTGTTTTCTCAGAATTCGAGGTTATGCCTTTTATCCTGCTATCTGTTACTATCCTGTATAAAAGTTCCCAGTTTTCTTTCTGTATCTGCTATCAACACGGTGTCATCTATGTATCTTATTTTTGTAAGTGTCTGCTTACCAATAATAAATTCCTGCAGGACTTCTAGTCCTCACAGGACGAAAATCTAACCAGAATGATGAGAGGAAATGTGTAAGTGCTACAAAATTCCGGCAATTTTTATGGTGGGTTCTTATGTCTAACATACCAGAAATTAAATCGGGGGATCAGTGACAGCATTTGAATGCTTTACATTTGGAAAACACATTTTTGATAGCCAAAAGAGTATATTTATGTATATATGAGGAAAACACACACCCGAAAACATTTACAGATTACTCCAAGAATAATGTTGGTAAGAAGAAAAGTAACAAAGATAAGAAAAGGAAAACTAAGTTAGGTTTAGGAAACTGATGTAATGAATATACATACACATGGGTTCCCCCTCACAGTAATATGATTGTCTGGTGTCTGCCATAAATACAGACTGATGTGGAGGTACATGGACTACGCCTATTGCCTACGCCTAGGACCATTCCATTACGGTTACCTACTAGATTGTCCTACTCGGTTACAGTAGTCCAAAACCACTTTGCTACTTCGAACAAATATATCCCTTTCCGGGACATATCAGAAACAAAAGAAAAAAAATAAGGAAAAAATAATCTTGGCAGCTGATCTTTCTTCTGATCGAGTTGTAACAGCTCTGAGGAGGGAAATTGGATGGTCATATTCAATACCTCGGAAACCGAACAAGTAAGCGGATCTTGAATATTCACCTACCGCGATGAATTGGTGTTCTCTCAGTGAGGTCCCGTGCCTTGAGCACCTATTTGGACTTAAACTAAAACCTCAAGTGGGACACCTATGTACGATCCATCGCTAATGAAAAAGAATCGGTCCCCTCCATTGTTACCCTCTCCCATTACAAGAGACAGATCAGGCTGAAAATGGAATTATACTCCCAGACATACATGAGCAATAGCAGCCTAGT